AAAAAAAAAAATAGTGCCCTTTTTTTTTTTTTTTTTTAAAAAATATAAACCCCCCCCCAAAAAAAAAAAAAAAAAAATGCAGCTATAACAAGGCGGACCGACGGTGAGATTTCCAATAACTGTGGCTGGCATGATAACACTAAGCCTCCATTTCTAATATTTCACAATATTTGCCCTCTGAAGCAGAGAGAGAGCAGAAATAAGATGAATCAACTGTGGCACAGATAGAAAGAGGAAGCATGAGGAAAAGCACAATGTTGAATGTAACTGTAGCTCGGAAAATAGAGGCAGAGAGGACGCAGAGCGGTGGCGGCGTCTGAAGGACGAGCCGAGTAACAGACACAAGAGGTTGTTTGAGTGGCTCAAACAGAAAATGTAATGGATTTGTTGCTCAAGGGGAAACTCCACATTGTTATCACACTCTGTTTATCTTTTATAATTAAGTTTCAGCTGTGTTTTGTTTTTTTTTTTTAATCTGTTGAGCTTTAAATTTGGCACAGCAGCGTTGGAATGCAACTTTATTTTAGGTGTTTTTATCCAATGAACCGGGAGTTGAGACGTTAATCTGAGTCCAGCTGAATGCGTCCTATTTGGGCTACAAAGCAGAGTTGAATTTAAAATCCCAGGAAAGCTTTAACAAAAAAAAACATTCTTTCTCTCCCAGCTGGATTTCAGAACGCCGCCTGGCTTCGACCGGACGCGCAACGCCGAGATCGGCAACAAGGACATCAAGTTCAAGCACCTGGAGGAGGCGTTCACCTCCGAGCACTGGCTCGTCAGGATCTACAAGGTGAAGAGGCTGGAGAACAGGGAGGCGCTGGACCACAAGCTCCGCAGCGTGGTGTCCAGGCAGAAGTACACCTCTAAGAAGGTCAGCGTTTTTCCTTTAAGAAGAGATGGATTTAGCTGTAGTTTGAGTTTTATGATGCTCTCGACGACTTACTCCTGTGATCCACACACACACCTGCGTTAAATAGGTAACGTGTTCCTATGTCAGCTGTAATTGCCTATGCAGAACAACCTTGACGTGGCCAGGTCAGCATGTGTGTTTATTTAGGGAGTGTAAGTGTTAGATCAGTCCATCCAATGATGTTTACCACCCATTGGTCCTATTTTACTCGCATCCGTCCATTCATCTGTCATTGTGTCCATCTGTCATTCTTCATCTCTCCTCACATCCGTTTATCAGTTTTTCTCCGTGATCTACCAATCACTCATTCACTTATCCATCCATTCATCTGTCTGTTCATTCACCAATCTGTCCATTCGTCTGTTCATTTGTGCCTTTTACAATTGTCCGTCCAACCATCTCGGTACATGCGTCCTTTTATTTGTCCATCTGCACATCCAGCAGTCTGATCACCAGCCTGGACGCTCTAAGGTTCTGTTGGACTGCATCCAACAGAACCTCACACTGATGTCTTATTTATTTTTTTTCTGTCTCTGAGCAGACTGCCAAGAGGAAGCGAGGACACATCAAGAACAAACTCGTCCTGAAGAAGGGCAAGAAACTCCCCAAAAAATAAAGACGACTCTGAACTCACGCGAACGTAAAGAAACCTCCAACAACCAATGAAGAAGAACACAAGGGCGGCTGTGTGCCTGGCGGTTGGTCAGGAGCGCTTCTCGTGAGAGCGCCCTCATTTATCGAGGAAGCGTCACATCCGGCCTGTCCAGAATCGTCGTTCGTTTTATCCTGAGGACGTCTGTCTTGCTTTTTTTTTTGTTGTTTTTCTACTTTTTACTTGAATGTGGCGAGGCATAGGGCTGCTCTAATTGATTAAACGTTGATTCATTTTTATTTTTTTTGTGCGTGCGCGCGTGTGTGTGTTGGGGGATTGTTAATGACCTGATTATCAGTCAGGAGATCTGGTGATCCGTGGAATGAGGAACGTTTGCACCAAAGACCCATCGACCTCGCTCCGTAGCACATGGGAACTCATTGCTAAGAGCGAGGGAACGCCGGAGGGAGAGCAGAGGACTCTGTTCCTGACGCGTGTACAGAGGACAGTATGCGGTATGGAGGAACGTCACCGTCTACACGCAGCACATCTGTAATATTAACCTTTTTACCATCCTCATCTCCTTAACGTCTGCCTGGCTCTCTGACTTTTGGTTTCCAACAAATTCTATAAGAAATTGGCCTAATGTGTAAATATGTTCTGTAAAGACAAAAAAAAAAAAAAATCTCTAAAATGATGGTAATTTTTTGGATCATTGTAATTTTTAAATGCGTAGTTCTTGGGTTTCCCTCGTTTTCTTGTTTTTTATATGACAGCAACTGGAACAGTGAATGCAATAACTACACAGAGGGGCTTCAGATTTCATTGGAAGAATTTGAATGTGAATTTTTTTTACATCTCCCCCTTTTTTCCCATAAATTGCATTGATTGTACATTTCTGCTGCTAGGCTTTTTAAAAACAAGCAAGTGAACTGTAGAGAAAAAATATATATATTACAAATTGGGGCTACAGGGGGCGCTCTCGGTTGAGCAAAGCCTAGTTATATTTCAGAATTTTACCTTGTTGCCGTTCACATTTTTTGGCTTCTTTCTTTTTACTTTGGCTCGTCATGCAGCTGCTGCTGGCCACACATGGTGATTACTTTTCCGTTTGTTTTGCTTTTGGATTATGCTTTGAAAATCAACAGAAATGTGAAGGAGGATTTTTGTGTGTAGGCTTGGTAAAGAGGACGGCTGTTGTCAGGAGCAACATCGGTTGTAACGGGAAGATAAATTACCAAATGTAAGGAGCTGTGTCCTAATGCTGCAACACACACCTGTCAGGCAACTTTGAACCAGGTTACTGATCTAGCTGCTACTTTTTTTTTTATTTTTTTATCAAAAATTAAAAAGTACCATCAAAACAAAATAAAACCTCAAAAATTCATGGCTTACAAGAGAAATAGCGGAGGCTGGTAGCTCATGATGGTTGCAATGAAACTCAAAATTAAGTTTTCTTTCTGACATGCATATGACACAAAACTGAAAATGGAGGATAGATTTTGACCAAAATAATTAGGGATGTTTTCCGTTGAATTCTTCATGCCCTGGTTGTTCAGTGGAAACGGTTTTCTTGCCGTCACAGCGATCCAGCTCAGAGTTTTTTTCATACCTTCATTGTTATTTTGATCATTTGATGAGTCTTTGAGGTTGGACTGCATCCCTGCCATCACCCTAATCTGCAGCTCCCTCTACAGACGCTCTATTAAAATTTAAGTCAGGACTTTGACTGGACCCCTCCAAGCAGAAGAAATCTGGAGCACGCAGACGTTTTGTATTCCAGTTGCAGAGAAGCAGTTCTGCATGCAACATTAGAATAACCTACTCTGCTAGTGAGTTATAACATTTTTGTGCGAGTCTCACTTTTTTCCATGTAATTATTCCATATTTTACTGCGTTAAAGTAGCTTTGGAGCTCCGTTTGTCCTCTGGTTACTTTCCCCACATAAATGTTTGTCCCTAAAATACGTCACCTCAATCTGAAGCTTCTCATAGGTGAAAGGAGGGACGTTATTATACTGAAACACAGTGTGCCAAACACACTTCATTTGGCTCAGACACAGAGGAAAAACAGTTGCAGTAAAGGCTAATTATAGTGACTTGAATACAAGGTGATCTCCTGCGAAGTTAGCAGTGATGACGTTCAAATCGGTGAAAACAATGTAGCTGATTAACTTTTCACCAACAACCAGCTGGTGTGGTCAGCTGACTGGTTTGGCTTTTGACTCCATGAATTGTTGTCTCCTTCATCAGCTGAACTTTTGGTTCACTTTCCCAGAGCTTAAAATATTTAAAGCAGAGAAACGATTTTTGTTGGTAAATCGTTGCTCTTCACAGGTTTACTTCCTCTGTCTTTGTAGCAAACGTTCTCACAATGCCACACATCTGTTCTCCGTATAGTGCGCTACACACCCCTACCCACACTCCGTTATTTTGGTTTGCAGGTCTGCCATACTCTCTTTATTTTCTGTTCTTTAAGAATTCATTTGAGGGGAGATCTGGATTTCGTTGGTGTAAAGGAGTAAATTCAAAAGCACGCTTCTTTTTTGGGGAGAAACCTTTAAAAATGCTAAAATTCTATTTCCCCCTCACGGCTGTCTTTAAATACTCTATTTAAAAATGTTTCCCTTCTCCAGTTTGAGCAGGTTTCAGCCGGGGCGTGCTGCATGGATTTGGGACACAGCTCTGCATCTGTTTTCATATGACAGAAACTGAAAGATTGTTTTTATGCACGTTTTGGGAACTTTTTCTGTTTTTATCAAACCAGAGACTTAAAATCGCATCGTACAGCTGTTGTTTGTTTTGCCACATCGTACGGAAGGGGAGGTTTTCTGACTGTTTTCTTTAAAATGCGTCTGAGTCGCTTTTGTTCTCGTTTTTACCGACCGTCTCCTCTGCAGGCCTCAGGCTGCTGGAACGGTGACATTTCGACGTGTCGTTGCACTTCGCCTAAAACTGCATTATGTCCTTTTTGGATTCTCATTAGCACAGAGGGGACAGAGTTCAGACTAAGCCTTAATGTGATGTACTTTTACTTTTCCTCATGTGATAAGTTTTTCCTTAAAACGGATGAAAATGTTGCTTTTCCGACTCTGCGGTTTTTCCTGAGCACTTTTCGTTCGATGCAGTCTCTGATTTGTCCCCTGCTCACCTTCAGAGTTTACATTTTTACATTTTGTTCAGTTGTGCCACCTCTAAATATACTCCTAAACAAAAACAGCCGTGTTTGTGTGTGATGTTTTTATGAGCTCCTATGTTCGTGTTTTTTGGGTTTTTTTTCCCCTCTGGAGGAATCAGGTGAGTGCAAACTGAACCACTTGATGGCAGCATTCACCTTTGACTGCAGATCTGCATGAAGAATGACTTCATCCTCAGCTGGTGTGTTTGGGAAGAATGCTGGGAAATTTTCCTTGTGACATCCCTGATGTGAAGTGAAGGCTGCACCTCAGATGAATTTATTTGGGAGCTTTTAAAGGAGTGTGTTGACATGTTTTAAGTTTTTACTGGCCACATTTTCTTATCAGTCTGAAAAAGTTTGGAGTTTAAATATTTTCCAGATCTGGATAAATATGGAAGAAGAAAACTGAGTGTGGAAAACTTTTAGACTTTGTTTTGTCTTACCGTATATATATATATATATATATATTTTTTTTTTTTTTTAATGGGACTGCAACTCGCAGGAGTCCTTTCTCACACTCACATTAGGTCCAGAAGTTTCAGAATAACTCGAGTACAGGAGTTTGAAAGTTGCGTCCATCCATCAATATGTCCTCCCTCCCTTTTCACATCAATCTATCAGTTTTTCTTTCATTCATTCTTTGTTGCATCAGTTTGTCCTTCACCCATCAGCTTCTCTGGCCAGATGTCCTTCAGTTTCTTTCATCCGTCTGTCGGTGAGTTTCTAATATTTGTCCTTCATCCCTCCTCATATCCATCCTTACTTCCTGTTGTGTTTTTTTTTTTTAATCTGAAATGGATTGAGAAATATATCAGTATTTTGATTTATTTTGATCTGCAAAATGTGACAAGTTTTACATTTGTGTTCTTTTCTGTTTTTATTCATAATTGTATTATGCTTTTGCAGTGTGTGTGCGTGCATGCTTTTATTTTGCAAATATAATTTTTCATATTCGGCGTTGAAAACGATGGTAAATAACCAGACTCGGGTCTCCTGCGTGTTACAGACGTTTCTGATCCGATTGGCTCCCCAGTTAATTATCTACTGAAATCAGCTGTGGTGAATCATGGGAGAACTGGAGAAAGGGTTGTGAGACAATCGGGGAGGTTTGTGGTCTGCAGGTGGGAGTTACAGTATCGATCTCGCTCTGCTTTCATGTTTCTTGGGGTTTTCAGCAGATGAAACTGAAATCTGGCTTCACCGGTGGAAGCCGAAATCTTTTCGGGCTCGAGTCTAATTTGCAATCCAGCTTTCATCAGTCGGAGACGATCAGATGTTCTATTGATTTCATGTGAAGGTGTCATAACCTCTTTCTTTTCATCAGCATCAGAGCCTCCGCTGGTTGTCATGGAAAACACCAAACATCTTGCTGCAACTCGCCGTCCTGCTGTGTAACTCGGCCTCTCCTGCAGATGTTACTGTGACGTGCAGAAGAAGATCTGCAGGGACGAATCCCACCTGATGCATCTCAGAAACGGAACAGTGAAGGTTCTGCATGACCTTTAACCCCTGTGCCTCCAACCCTCCCCTCCTGTTGTCCACGCCCCGTCAGGTAAGAGTAAATGTGTTACTCGTGGGAGTTTTGCAGTGTTGTAGCGTCCATGTTTAGGTTTGAGCACTGAGATATTATTGTAACACTTTTAACGTGACAATCTTTAATGCAGGAGTTATAATCCAGACATAAGCAGCAGTTTAATTACAAAACCTTTTAAACCCCCTAAACTTTTACACTTTTGTCACAAACTATAATGTACCTTAGTGGGATTTCATCATACATGAAGACAAAGTAGTGTGTACTTGCACATTTTTTAACAAGCTAAATTTGCCCGTTCTCATTTACAAAAAAGCTCAGTTAAAATAGATAGAGCATCTAAACCAGCCTCACCAAAGTTTCTCGATTGTATTTAGATCTGAACTTTAACTGGGCCATTTCAACACAAATATTTGCCATCATCTTAACCAAGGTCCTCAGCTGCAGCCTTTAAAGCCTGAGGGTTCTGCAACTTTTAGATGAGTCCCTGATCCTTAGAGAGTCCTGCTAATGACCTAATATTAAAGCAGAAACTTTTTGGAAACCAGAACTCTGGAGATTTAAATCTCTAATCAAATAGATTTAGCTGTTTATCCTCCACCTGTTCATCCTCGTTTCCTACTTAAACTTCACAATCTCTTCTTTCTTCTGTTTCATGCTCATATACTTGAACCATGATGCATGTTTTTTTTTCATTAATATTAGGAATAAATTATGAGAAAGCCAGACTCTAACTTATAGTTTTATTTGTCTAAACAATTTTATTTGGTTGCACTTTATCACCATTTAACAGTGATTCTGACCTAAACCGCCTCCTGCTGGTAGAATATTTATTAGTCATGTGACATTTCTCACAAACTTTGATCCTGAGCAGAATATAGAAAATTACCTCAGCCTTTTTCTTATCAGAAAGGGTGGGACATGTCCCCATCTGATGGGTCTTAATAAATCATAGATTTACTCTCAAACCTTGTGAAATAAGACGTTTGTCTTAT